GGCATCCAGGCGGGTTTTGAAGACCTCCAGAGTAGGAGACTCCACAACCTCCCTGGGCAGCCTGTTCCACTGCTCTGTCACCCTCACAGTAAAGAAGTTGCTCCTCACCTGGAGACGGAACTTCCTGTGTTGCAGCTTATGGCCATTACCCCTCATGTTACCCCATGTTTCAGTTATGTCATTGGAACATGTATTCCTGATGACAGTGGGAGCGTGGTGATGAAACTTGTGGAGTAACTTTTGAGATGCTAGATATAGAAGAACAAACCATATTAGTAAATTTTTACTCCACTTCTGTTTATCATGTAACTTAAGTGTTAGTTACTAAAGATTCTTAGGTGGCATTCATCATCTTCAATTTGGAAAGTGCAGTTCAAGGTTATAAAAGTTAATCATGGGATATGAAATATTGCCATAGTTTATCAGTGTGGTGCTATTAGTAAATCCATGCTTTCCTCTTGCAAAACGCCAATACGTGAAATCTGTCACGATGCTCAATGCACATCTTGCTGGGAGCTCATAATTATTTGCTACAAACTTTGCTGGAACCCTGAACATTGTAGTGCTGCTGAGCTGCTTCTTTTAACACTTCGTGTTGATTCTGTTGTACATTAATATGTGTTTGTAGAAGTACCTAGATCAAGAGAAAAAAAATGTTTCCTTCCTTTAATTTGTGTCCCACTCACTAATACACTAATACAATACATACCCTTTGCACATTTGTGCAAGAATTATGCAGCATTTGAAAGTATGTAAATGCTTTATAACTTCCTTGGACACCCAATTCTCTTGAAGTTTTTGAGAAGTCCACAAATTAAAGGCCAGAATACTTTCTCTATTCTGTTAGCCCATTTTAGTTATGTTTGGTGTACCATAAAAACTGACCACCTCTCTGCAAAGTTTGAGAGGACTTCCATAAACTTGGGTGACTCTGTTTCGCTCAGTTTTGGTTATGTGTTTGGGGCCATCATTACAGAATCACAGAATGGTTAAGGTTGGAAGGGACCTCTAGAGATCATCTAGTCCAACCTTCCCACTCAAGCAGGGATGGGGCACAGGGTGGCATCCAGGCGGGTCTGGAAGATCTCCAGAGAAGGAGACTCCACAGCCTCCCTGGGCAGCCTGTGCCAGGGCTCTGGCATCCTCACAGGGAAGAAGTTCCTCCTCACATGGAGATGGAGCTGCCTGTGTTGCAACTTACACCCATTGCCCCTTGTCCTGTCACTGGCCACCACTGAGAAGAGCTTGGCCCCTTCCTTCCTACATTCTCCCTTCATGAATTTATACATGTTAATCCGATCCCCTCTCAGCCTTCTCTTCTTGAAGCTAAACAGGCCCAACTCAGTCTGTCAAAAAGAGTTACAAAACTCTTTGCATCAGGAGGATGGTTGGAAAGGAGCAAGACATGATGATGATGTACTAGAAGCCTTATCTGTAGCTGTGCTGCTAACCCTGATGCTGTGGAGCCTACAGTTTTTGGCTTTGTGGGGCAAGATCTTTGAATGCTTAAATGACTGCTTCTTAGTGGTAACAGATCAACATCCTATTAGTATTGATATCAGCTTAATTTTAAAATGCCTCTATCTTTTGAATGATAATACTATTCAGATAGCTTAAGACATGCTTGCTGTTCTTTCTTTGAAAAAAGTGACCACAATGGTATTTTTGTCCTTTAGGTGGCAGCATATGACTTTGCTCTTCCAGTTAATATTCCTCAGGGTGAATATTCCTGGTCACAGGAAAGCTCTATACCAGCAACTCCTATTGGATCTGTAAAGCACACCATTACTCCTCGGCCCCAAGGGGTGACTGTGCCTGCTCCGGTTTGTAGAGTGAAAGCAGTTGGTAGGTAAACTAGGGATCTGAACAAATGATGGATGCTTATATTTGTAGTGATGTTCTTCCTTGTATTTAAACTGCAGGGGATTGCTATATATATGAAAAAAAAGCAACAGGATTTAAAAGACTGAAACTTAAGTAATTCTTGTGTAATTTGTAAATATCTTGAAACTTGCAAATTTTTCAAATCTAAAAATGTCTTTTAAAATGTGCTACTATCTCTAAACATAAGTATTATATGTGCTGAGAAAGCACATAAGTTCCTAACATTGCTATTTACCTACATCCCATTCTCAGAAATTTGATAAAAAAATCTATTTTTTTTAATAATATTAAATTTTGTTTCTACTCAGTCATTAATAGTCCTGAAACTTAACATATGGACTTGGTATTTTTACAGTAGTTCATTTGTAAGGTATAGAAAAATGGTATATCGTAATCTTTCTTTCCAGTGGCATCCTGTAAAAACTAGGAGCTCTAGCTATATTTAAAACCCTTTTAAAATGTCTTCCAGCATGGCCCTGATAGAATCTGGAGGCAACTGCGGATAACTCTCTCCTTTTACTTCTGCTTGCCTTTACATGCCCAACTGCACTCTTCTGGCCTTTCAAAATTTGTTTAATGTCCCAAATTACAGCAAGAAAATGTATCTTAGATGATTTTTCTCAGCATTTCTAGAAATACTTTTTTATTCTGCATGGTCACCTGTCAGATCATGTAGACTTGTACATACTTAATAAGCTTGAATCCATTAGTTTTACTCGTCTCCATGTTTTGATATATATTCGCTGTTTATTGGAGAAGGAGATTTAAGTGCAGAGCATAACCTTGGAATGATGTTCCTATAATGTTTAAAAATCTCAGGAGCACTAAGGGGTAAAAGCAATTCCCGTTTCTTCAATTCTCTCTCTCTCTCTTTTTTTTTTTCTCTCTCTCTTTACACTCTAGAGCTTTACATTTGAGCAAGACTTCTCTTGAAAACTTGAGACTTCCTTTAGATCCCATGATGGAAATAAATATTGAGCATGTTTACATGTATTTAGTTTAAGAACATGCAGATTAATTCATACATATGCATAAGACTTATAAAAAAAATACCTCTAAATAAAAATGATGACTCAAACTGACAGATTGATAGTGCAGAAGTGATTAAAGTAAGCTTGAAATTAAAGCAAAAGTTTACTGCTGTTCTGTTTTTTTTTCTTTTTTTTTGTGGAATAATGACCTTGTATGCAGTAAGTCTTACTAATAAATGGCAATCGTATCTAAACCTATGCATAGATTTGTAGTTCCACATAGATTTGTAGTTCCGCTGTCTAGAAAATAGATAAATAGTCATCTATCCAACCAAAGCATTTTCTTCAAAGCAGCAGTATAGCCCAGCGACAAGCAATTGTCTTATACTTTCAGTATGTAAAAACAGTAGATAAATTAAAAGTGTGGCTTTTAATGAGCACTCAGTATTTCACATAATCATATTTATGGAGGCAACTAGCCAAACTTTTTGTACTTAAATATATCGAATTTATAGTGTTACTACGTTCTGACAGCTTAAAAATGATGCTTGCTACTGATTCAGTGATTCAGATTATCACTTTAGAAGTGGATAAGGTGCATTTTTCAACTTCTAAGTGCTGATTCTGCAAGCATGCCTAATCTCACTGCTCTGTGCAATATGGTGCATATAAATTCCCTCTAAATTTTTTTTCCTATAGAAGTGCTCTCCGATTGATGAGGATTCAGATAGGGTGGCAGAATTGAGATGGGATTTGCTGGAAAGTGCAGTATTAATATTTAGAGTTGATTAGATCAATTCTCTCTTCCTTTTAAATTATTTCCTAATCCACTTCTCACATTATGTAAATATTAATATTACCTGTATTTCTCTAAAATACAGCTATATAAACTCTACAGATTAATACTGTTTCAATGTAGGAACAAGGTCTGCCCAGTACAAGAAAATGACTACGTGGAACGTGCTCACCATTCAAGTGCTCTGCATCTATGCCAGACAAGGGACTTCCTCACTTGGTGTGAGACAGACTTGCAGATTTTAGTAAAAATGTGCAATGTACTGGCTCGGTCATTTGCAAAAGAATAGGGGCAGAATGAAGACTCTTATGAGAATACTTGTTTTTCTTAATCTTCTCTTTAGAACTCATCTTTTATCATCACTGTGTTATTCTAGGTGTGTGAAATGAAGAGAAATGCTCTTCTAATATATGTATAAATATTTTGTGATTAATATGGTCACACTGTAAAATGAGTCGTTTTCTTATATTTACTTGGAATTTGCAATATTTCAGTGTAGGCCGCATTGCTGCTTGTCATGTCACTGAGCACAAGTGAGAAGAGTCTGACTGCCTTCTTTATGCCCTCCCATCATGTATTTATCAGCTTTAGAAAGGTCTCTCTAACCATTCTCTTCTCCAGGCTAAACAATCTCGGCTCTTCTCCCCTTATCATCCTGCTCCTTTACTGGGTTTGCTGAGCTATGTCTGTGTTGCTTGTAATGGGCAGCCCACATCTGGGCACAGCTGTACAGATGTGATGTTGCTATGGCTGAGTAGAGGTGAAGGATCATCTTCCTTAATCTGCTGGCTCTCTCCCCTTTTTCTCTGTGGGGCTGTATCCTATGGGATTCTTCCAACAGGTTCTTGAGGATAGATGTTAGAAGTCTAATGGTAAAATCTGGAGTCCCTTTAGTCCTCCAAGTGTGGTAGATATTAAGATCACTTGCATATGACTAGAGGGTCATGTTAAGATATTTAAATTACAACAATTATGCATACAGTATATTGGCAATAAAAAGAAAAAAATGCAGATTTAAAACAAGTAAATGTCTACTAAATATGGACAGAAACAATAGTTTTACTGAAAGATTTAGGGAAATTCTGTCAAATTATACTTAACTTTTGTCACTTGTTTCTTCCAACAGTGCTCACATCACCATTGGAGTTCTCCTCAATGGAACTTACATTTTTGCTGCATTTAGGGAATAAACCATCTAATGTAGCTGATGAAAGCCTGAATTCTCAGGTATATGATCACAGATGTTGTAATTAATCTTACTTTTTTTTTTTTTTTAAATTTGAAATAAGATGAGGAAAAACAGAGATCTAGAACTTAAATCTTAATACATGAGATTGTGTATTTCAAAATCTTCCCTTCAGCATTCAGTTGAATTTTGATTTTTATGTTGGACTGTCTTTTGCAATTAGGTTTTTTCTAAAACTCAAAATTGGACTCATCCTTGCTTTCTGATATGTGAGGTAAATCCTGTGCAACTTGAAAAACTGGCTTTGAATTGTGTAAGAAATATCTTACTTGTGAAGATTTTCTGCCTCTACCTCTTCTGGTCAGTGTACTGTGGCAGTCAATACATATAAATTGCTACCATTTTTGATGGTGCCGTGGTTTGTGCCATCTATCACTCTCCTAAGTGATTCTTGATCTTCATTTAGGACCTTAGTTGGAGAGAGGAACTAAACAAGGTGCTTGGCCACAACAATTGAAAACAGCTATTGTTCTTTGGACCATGGAGTCCTTGACTGTATGAACACAAACCTTACCATGTCCTTGTCTATCCTGTTTTATTTTTGAAGATTTTTATCTGGAATTTATACCAACAGACTCTATTTTGTGCAATGACATTCTCCCCAACTCTTACTTTAAAATCTTTTTTAGTTTTTTTAGAAAAATGGTGGTTGTATAAAGCCTTTTCCTAGCTATTGACATATTAGACTTTGAAAGAGGACTGAGATGGGGAATTGAATCTTTCTTCTTGCCACTGCGCTCTCAGTGAATTGACGGGGGGGGGGGAAGGATTTCTAAAGCCTGCATATCTAACACTTCTGTGAATTCAACATATTGGTTAGAAGCAATGTTAGCTAGATGATGTAGTTTAGTTGTTGCAATGCTTCATTAATATCACAAAAACTCCTCTCACTTGTATTTGTGACTCCCACCACAGTACTTCTGTCTATTTGCTGCCCCTAAATGAGATGTTCTGGAAGGAAAGTGCATCTCTTTGAATGTGGTGAGGGACTGCTAGACACCCAGTCTGTACTGTTAGGCATATTCATTTTCTCACCATACAGCTTTAATAAACTAGATTCTTCATTGTTCTCTATTGCGTTCTTGCAATCTGATCTGATTGCAAAATATTTAACATGAGGTGCTAAGAAAAGTAGCATAGTGCTTATTACTTTCCCTTATTCATGATTTCCCCTTCTCCATAAACATTTACAGAAACTTGACTTGATGAATATCTCAAGGCAGCAGTTGACATGGAAATTGACCTGCGATAGTTCAAAAAAAGCAAAAGAAGATGGTATTTTTAAATTTAGTCTACAGACTGGATTTCTTGATCCAGGACAAAAAATCAGTATCCCTGTATCTTTCTGCCCTCGTAAGTATTTTTTTTCTGGATTCTATGCATGGTTTGTTAAAGGTTCATTTTTATAGGATTACTTAAATCATTCCTTACTGCCAATCATAAATAGTACTTTTCTTGCTGAACTTTGATTTAATATGCCTAGGTAACCAAATGAAATGACAAAGGAAAGGCTTTTTGAATTTTCGAGAAACTCAACTAACATTATTTGGAAACACTGAATTTTCGAACCACTCGCCTAACATTATTTGGAAAGCCTTTTTGTGCATACAGGGTCTCAAAGGACTTAAGATACCCGAGTTATTTTCAATACTGTCATTTAATGTGCATTTCATTTAAGTAAGTTAAATGAAAAAAGCTTCTAAGAGTACCTGGTGTGTGTGCGTGTGTATGTAAAATATTTTCCTGAATAGCCATAATTTAGGTTAGAGTATTTCCTTTCCCTAATCAAAATATGTAGATTGGGTATTTTCTGAGTAGGGTATTTTCTAGTAGTAGTAGTAGTAGAACATATCATTTTCTGATATGTTCTAAGTAAGACATATGCTATATAATAATTTTTGCTAAATTTGGGGTGTGGAGGAAGATGATAGTCAACCATATATGCCAGAAGAGGAATGACAGGACGCGACTATTAGGAAGAGGAATGACAGGACGCGACTATTAGGATTCTACCTTCCTCTCAGTCAAGTCTTTAGGAGTCAGCCCAGTGTGACCTTGCATATGAGCTGGTAAAGCCGGGTGGTGCCTGCAGCTCTTCCTAGGACTTAAAGCTGTATTGACAGTTTACATGCCCTACTGGTGACTCCCGCAGTCTCCAGGAGAAATAAAAGTTGTATTTTTGTAGGATCTGATCCTGAATCAGTAATTGACAATACCTGTCATAAAGAAAGATACTGGTATTATTTTTGATAAATATGGCTGAAACCTAATACTACTTCATGCTGCAGCCAGGTAGGGATCAAGTACTGATGAATAAATGAAAGAGAACAGTCATGGGATAATCCTACTTAAAAAGTGTTTATATTGTGAGACCATATTCAAGTTTTCCCCTATAAATGATCAAGACCTAGAATGGCTGCAAAGCAGGTACCAACATGCAAGTGAAAGCTGGTGTTCTGAATTACTAAATAAACCGTATGTGTATATGCACACATGCGCATATATATATATATAAAAAGATGACTGATAAATAATTGTTGTAATTTAAGGTTATTTATATCTGCACTGTTTTTCCAAATGCTCTTGTTTACAGAAAATAATAAATCACTGTAAGAATCAATTGCCTTTAATTCAATGTTCTAAGTATTTTCCCATGATTTATAGCCTGTTTGCAGTATACCTTCCCTGAAAATAATTACTCTTTCTTGAAATAGCACATTAGGTATAGCAAACCCTCACAGGAGACCTAATTAAGGAGTATGTTGTGCTGATTGCCCTTGTAGGTTTGTTCTCTAGAGTTGTAGAATGGGTTGATCAAGCCTTAAAATAAACTTTGTGCATTATAGGAATTTGTTTAAATATGCCAGCATGTTTACTGAGAGTAAAAAAATGCTGGACTTCCATGTGTTCTAACAAATCATGCAAAATTTTATATAATATGTGGTAAAGCTTCCTTGTCAGAACAGATTATTCAGTATAATGCATTCTCTAGAACTTAAACTGTATTAATTTAATCCTTTCTCCAATGCAATAGACTATAGAATAAATGTAGAGCATTTCTATTTGTCTATGTATATATATATTTATATAGCATTAATGATAAATGAACAGTCTCTTACTGTGTTGTACAAAACTTCTGCCTATGGCGCAGGAAGATGCAATATATCTGTCCTGTGGGATTTCCTGTGGGCAAAAGAGTCAAGAATACTCTAATGAGTTAAAAAGGATGCAGTGCCCCTAGAAGGTGTGATAATTATGCACAGGTGACCATCATGCCCTCTATCTTTTATGGTTCTTCCTGCAACAAGACCACAATAACTGCTGTCTAAGAGTATCTGTGAGAAAATGTTTGGTGTTTGGTTTGCTTTGTTTTCTCTTTTTTTACAGGACCTGCCTGTAAGGTATGGTTACTTGCACCTTTTCTCCTTCCTATCTGAGAATAAGCAGGTTTTTCATTGGCATTCATTTGTGCTAAAGGTGTACATATTATATTTGCAATTTGAATTCCTATATAGACCAGGGCACCTGAGCTGGATATGCTTATTTGAGGGACAAATATAGAAAGTGAATAACAATCTGATATGACCTTAAGAGGGTAAAATGAGCAGGTGATGGTTTTGCTTTCTTCTCATGCTTGAAATATCAAAAAGTAGGCTAATACACAGTCAAGGTTTGTGGAAGAAACCTTAGACTCCTGCTGATAAAGAACAGGAAGGAACATGGAGATATTTAAGGATGGAGCCTTCTTAAACTGGCTTCTTTCTTAAAATAAGTGGAGTGGAGGAGGGGTGTGGGGTTTTTTTATCTATTTCTCCTACAAAAATGGGTGAACAGTCTCAGGAGGAAAGCTTATCCGTGTGCCTAGCTTCCTTTTGAGAGAGATGTGATCTCTGTTTAGGTTTCTTTTAGGAAGGGATCTACAGAATTGATAGCTCCAGTATAAGAGAGAGAGAGTTTTCCCTGAGAGCATTCTGAGCTGCCTGGGCTTTCTAGTGCAAATTAGAGTGCAAGTGAAGCAGCTCGTAAATACATACACATATTCACTTGGAGGAGTCTTTCAGAGTTCCTTTCTTCAGAGTGTTTTTGTTTTCTGAAGCAAAGTGGTGAATTCTTGTTTTTCATAATAACTATGTCCAGAAATGACAAGGGGGAATTTACCTAAATCATACTACAAACCTTTTTTCAGCCCCTGGCAAATTCAGATGGGCAGAGTAACCAGTAACCAGTACTGTAAAAGCTCCCTTAGGAGATGTTTCTGTTTCTCTTGTACTTCTTGTTGTCTGTTGTATAAAATTGATGGTGTTATATTGGAATGGTTACAACACAAGCCTTGATTGTAGTCATGAAGGGTGCAACAAATAAATATATTCCACAGTGTTCTATTTAGTTTTTCCTGATGAAGTGATCTGGAATATTTACAAAAGATCAGAATGATATTTTTTAATTAATGAAATTCTGTCATATCTAAGTTTATATCAGGTCAACTGATGGAATTTCTTCTCTCTGATAGCGCTAAGAATGGAGCAAAATCTGGGTGATTTTCATGTAAATTGGTAGATGAATGGAGTGGCAGGTAATATCACGCTTTGAGAAAAAAGCTTCTTTGCTCTTTGGAGAAAAATGTCAATAGATAGTACCTGCCAGTGCTAAAAATCTGAGTATTTGGAGGGGCAAAGCATGGAAAGAAATGAACAGATATTAGTCGAAGAAAAAAAGGTTTAACAGTAATCTAAAAAAGGTGTTTATATCCATTCTCTGTAAATGTGTCCTGATTTTAAATTGTGCAGTGTTATTCTCCTGCACCCTAGCTGGTGGATTCACAGTATGGAAAGCTGGAATTCAGATTTTCTACCCGGAGAAAACCTCTGCTTCATTGTACCTACTCTTTGGGGGCTAATGAGGTGGGGAATTGAGGAATTCCATTCCATGGCCCTTCCTTTACCGTATTTTTCATGTATAATGAAAAACAATTTAGCTAAAGAATTTATTATTTGTCCATATATCTTTCTCAGTTCCACATTTTATCTGCAGAAGAGCCGGGAGCTCATCACTTGGTGCTAGTTGAGGACATAATTCCCAATAATTTCCAAGTACAGTTAAATGTTTTCAAATTTTCTGGCCATTTCAAACTAATAAACAATACTTAGTGGGATTGTACACTTTATGTTTGGTCTTTGTGAGAACTGTATCACAACATACTGTATTCTTTATTTGTTTCTTTATTTCTTACATTCTGCATAGGGTCCTTAACATGTTTGTATAACGTGTATGTGTTTACGTAGAATTTTGTATTTACTAAATGTGTGAAGCCACATACAGATTGATCCATTTCACAAATGGATTTTTTCTTAGAACAAGCTCTTTATTCTCCCCATAAAGTGAGTAAGTGTTTCTGTGGAGTTCACAGGTGGTCATGTCGTTGACTGGCTTTTTTTATTGGGCATGAAAAGTTTGTGCAGAAAAGCCCAATACAACTATTTTATAACTTTTGATAGTTTGACCTTGGGAATATAGTTAATACAAACATTTTTAAATGTGAGAGGTAGTACAAGTGACGTATTCTTTGGTACTAAAATCTGACCTTGCAGTTTCTTTCCTTTAGTTGTGGCATTTATTGGTCATGGGCTGTCACTTTCCATTCTGTGTGATCTAGAAATAGAGGAGTGTAGGGTACCAGAAGCATGGCTTAGCTAGAGCACAGTGGTAGGAAGTTAGTTTGTCTGGTTCATATATAACCTGTATAGTACTGGCCATCTTTTCTTACAGGCCTGCCAAATGTTATGTGGCACTTCATATATCTCCATGAACTTCTCTGACTCTCATCTACCTTTTCCTCTTAAGAGTGCCAAGTGCTAGAAAAAAGAAGAAAAAAATAAGGTTTTGTTTCCTTGCTTTTTCAAATCCTAGCATTTCAGCCCTTGCTTGGTGTATTATCTCCTAAAGCTGGTTTCCGTTTAGCAGGGAACTAGCCATAGTCTGTGAGCACTGCAGCAAGCTCCCCTCCCATTTCATCTGGCTTTTCCTTTGAGGATCACGATTGCTGTTTTGATCTGAAGGGCTGCTGGCTGTGCTCTGAGCAGGTAGGAGGCTTCCATGAAGCTCCTCTGGCATCATCTCCGCAATGAAATTGGCTCCTACGAGGAGGGAATAAGATAAAATGTTTGGAAGAGAGCAGGTTTTCTGTTCTGTGTATGCGAACAACAGCAGCTGTTTCTCAGTCTGTGAAAAAGATTATTGGAGTTGAAGACCTTGCTGTAGCATCTGTGCTCATGCAGACACACAAAATGGAAATTACTTTTTCCTTTTTAAGCACTAGGTGAGAATATTTGTAATTCATATTTACTAATCTGTGGCCAGTGGGGAATGAAAAGGAAAGCTCTCTTTTTTTTTTTTTTTTTTTTTTTTTCCTCTCCCCCCACCCCGCTTCTTTTTTTCCTCAAAATGAAAAGATCAAATTTTCTGAGTGGCAAACGTCCTAGATTTAAAAAAAAAAAAAAAAAAAAAAAAAGGATGTTCATTAGCTGGTTTTCAAAGTTGTTGCCTGTACCAGTTCTTCAGCAGGCAGGAATCACTGAAAACTTGTTTAGTGGCATTGCGTGTGACATTCTGTTAGAGCAACTGTTGCTAATGCACCTTGCTTCCCTGTCAGTGAAAGAAAAGGCAAACGAGCTTTTGCTGTGCCGTAGAAAATGGAACTCTGGAGCCCTTGGAAGGATGGTGTGAGAAGGGAGAAAGCAGTAGGAAATTGGGGATCCTGTCAGTGAAGGATAATCCAAGGATGGTGTAGAACCTGCCCCCCTGGCTGTTCCACAGCAGTATAGGTTGTATAATTGCCTGTTAAAATGATTGCCATCTTATAAAGCAATGCCATCATCTGCCTTGGCAGTCAGATGTTAGTGATGTTTATTTATTTGTAAAATCAACATTCTCCATGTTTATTTGTGCAGTTTATTTCATGACTGTAATTCTCACAATTGAGAAGTGTTATAGCGATGTCCTACATAAAGGAATGTTGGTAGACTAAATGGCTCCATTTCAAAAAGCTTTCTACTAATTAAGAAAATGGATTTTTAATTTGTTCCTAGCAAGTATTCAAAACTTTCTTAGTAAATAATTCATTTACTTTATTTGAACTACATTTTGAGTAGGAAAGCAATAATGATGATTAAAAAAAAAAACCTTTAAGTCATTATTTTAATTGCATGCATTTATGGTAATAGGGTTGGCTTTTTGTTTATTTTTGTTTTTAGCAGCCTGTCCTGGAGCATATGCATCTGAAATGTTAGTGTATGTCAATGATAATCCATCTCAGTACCGAATAATGTTGTCTGGCACTGTGAAGTCACCAAAAATAAGTTTTGATCCCATCCTTCTAATGCTGATGCCAGTTCCTTTGGGTATGAAAACTGAAACAACTGTCAATATTATTCCACAAGATTATTTAAGGTAATTTTGTGACATGCTTGTAAAAGTATTTTGAACAGTTTTTGAAACAAGAAGAGAATAATCTTACCAGGAGTTTTTGCTGACTTTAGCCAAATATGCTTATCATAGTCTTACCTACTCTGCAGGTTAGAAAGCAGTGTTTTGAAATCTCGCAGGTATTTGGATAACTAGTGACTTTTTTTCCCCAATTACTATTTACTTCCATTTTTGTGTAGATCATCTACTACATCCTCTTGGCAAAATTTACAAGAGAACCCTTTCTAATTTTCATATCATATAATATAACCTGACATTAAATCTATTCCTGTTTGATAAAAATCTTCTCAATCTTTTAACATAGATCTTTCAAGTCAGAGCTGCATCACTTTTATGTATGTTTGTGTAGAAACATTTGTTTTCAGTCTTAGAGGTACAGCTTCTCTTTGTGTAATTACGAGATAGTGGTAATTTCAATGTAATAGATAGGTGTATAACTAGCAATGCAGTACCAGAAGAACTGGAGGAAAAATCTGTGTTACAGAAAATTAGATATTAATTGCATTAAGATAATATGATTTTTGTTAAATTGCTTTGAGTTGTTGTAGTTTATAAAGTGACTTGGATGTTATCAGTAATTCAGCATTTGGATCCGAATGGATTCCATATAGGCCTGGGCCCATTCATACTCTTATTTCAAATTGGAGTCTTAAATGACATATCCAAGGAAAGAATCCTAATATATCTCCATGAATTTCTAATTCAAATTGTTAATGTAAAATCTTTTGAGTATTAAAATACCTTCATGTATGCAAATACTGTTTTGTCACTGTAAATGAATATGTTTTGTGAAAGCAATTGTTTTGTTCAGAAGTTGTTCCTCCTTGGGATGTTGTACTATTGTGGGTCAATATTAAACTTCAAGATATCATCTGTAAAAACAAAAAAGCAAAACAAAACCCAGCATACTAAATGCTGAGGGATTTTAATTCTTCACTTTCAATACACTAACACTTGAAAATTGAAATTTATTAGTATACTTCTATATGTCATTGTAAAAAATGGTTTCATAGGACTCTGAACCCTCTATTACTGTCTTCTTGTAAGCACAAAACCTTTATTATTGATTTTTTTTTTTTTAACACAGGCAATCTCGAATTCGAGTAGAACTTCCAGAGTTTGATCATGAAGATGGTGACAGGATTTGCCCTTTTTCTGTGCAGTTCCCAAATGGACAAGATGTTGTTGTTTCATCAGATGGTACAAATATACAACTCATTTGTCATATTGGCTTCAGCTCATCCAGACCAGTGTCCTATTTAGAGAATATATTCTTCATCGATGAAGAAGAAAACAGGTAAATTGCTTGCTTCAAATTCATATAAAGACAGCATCCTGGTGAAAGTAATAAGACAAAGAATTGTAGAATCATTTTGGGTGGAAAAGACCTTCAAGATCAACATGGCCAACAGTAAACTCATACCCACCGTACCTGCTAAACCATGTCCCTAAGCACCTCATTTGCACCTTTCCTGAACTCTGCCAAGGATGGTGACTCCGCCACTTTCCTGGGCAGTCTGTTCCAATGCTTCACTGCTCTTTTCGTGGAGAAATCTTCCCTGATATCTAAACCTGAACATCTCCTGGTGCATCTTGAGGCCATTTCCTCTTGTCCTAGGACAAGAGTTATTCTGTAGAAGAGCTCAACCCCTGCCTCACCACAGCCTCCTTTCAAGTAGTTGCAGAGAGTGATAAGGTCTCCTTGGAGTCTCCTCCAGCCTAACTAACCCAGCTCCCTCAGCTGTTCCTCGTACGGTCTGAGCTCCAGCCCCTCCACCAGCTTCATTGCCCTTCTTTGGATATGTACCAGCATCTCATGCCTTGTAGTGAGGGCCCCAAAACTGAACACAGGATTCGAGGTGCAGCCTCAGCAGTGCCAAGTACAGGGGGACGGTCACTTCTCTGCTTGTGCTGGCTACACTGCTCCCGATACAAGCCAGGAGGCTCTTGGCCGCCTTGGCCATTTGGCACACTCTTGGCTCATGTTCAGCCAGCTCTTGGCCAACAGCCCCAGATCCTTTTCTGCCTGGTAGAACTCTTACTGTTTGAGTTCAAAATACCTACAAAGATACTTTGGTCTTATGTATCTACAAAGATAAATAAAAAATATGAGTGAAACTTAGAATTTTTTTTTTTCAACTGGATTATCACTCAAAACCATACAATTCAACTTTGATCTCCAAGGTAAGATTTGTCTAAATTACTATTTTCAGGTCTTGTACCACAGTCATGCCTTTACCACTTAATTCTTATGTCTGCTTTTTCCATTACAGTTTATTTTGCTGTTTTGAAAATACCATCTTAAAAATATGCTACATATTTTAGGTCTTTTTGGAATCTAAAATGAGGGACCACTAATATCAGATCTGAGCTTCATGGGAATTTAAGCTTGTATAGTGACTTTGTTCCACGTGAAAACCTGTTAAAAAAAGAATCAAAAGCCATTATACTAATTTCATGAAGTTATTATCATATTAAGAATTTGGCCTACTGTAGAGCTACCTAAACCTTTCAGAGCTTGTTTTGGGAAGCAGGTAGTCTCCAGTAGCTTGTAATGGTTTCTGGAGCTGGGGGAAATGTCCTTGTACAGGTAGTTTATTTATTCTTAGCCTCAAATAGAGATGGGGAGGAAGTCAGAAATTCATTTTGCTAGTAGCCAGTGGAGAATCATCTGTAGTTTGTTATGCAGCAAAGAACAGGGCCCCTCTGCTGTTTCAAAGAGATGTCCCTTCCTCCCTGCCTGTGTGTGCCATTCTTGTATGTGCTCTTGTATCCTTAGATCCTAATTTTTAATGTTGCCTTCTGTATTGTTACTGTAAGATTTTTTGGGGCAGGACAGTCTAGTACAAGTTTCTGTACACTGGGTTGAGGCGTTTGTTGATCTCTAGTTCTTCCTGAAACATTATTAATCGATTACCTTATTAAGAATCTGAAGGGTACTGTCCATATATAAGATCAATAAGAAATTCTTTAGGTGCTTGTACCTAATTTATCTTCGATGTTGCAGGTTGTTGCCATTATCATTAGTGATTCCAAATGTTCAATAGTGTTTTTGTTTGTTGAGGCCAGTGAGAAAGGAATACAAAAATGTGTGTGTGTATATTCATACTCAAAATACTGTATAGAACTAATATCAATATTATGCTACTTTTGGTGTGATATACAGGACTGGAGATGAATTTGCAGAAAGCTCTGCCGTCTGCCTCCCTCCTTAGAGAGCTCTCCAGTTTTCTGCACTGGCTCAGGCTTGGTGGATAGCAGCCTCACGAAAAGCAGGCATTATCAGGGAGAAGGGACGAGGCTACTCTATAAGATTAGGAATTAGATGCATATGTTGTCAAATTCTTGTTAGTTCTAAATTCCTGAAGGACAACAGACCTAGTGTTTGACAGCAATTTAAATAGAGTGTTCTTACTAAAATTTACAACAGTTGTATTTATTTAGTTTTATTCAGGGGCATTTTTTTTTCATGGTTACAGTCAATTTAGTGATGAAAATATATTGCAAGCCTGAAATGTAAACACCTTATTTTGATTTTAGCTAGGTAGCTTTTTTGATAGCTACCCTGGACTTCAAGAGGGCCAACTTCGACCTCTTCAGGGAGCTCCTTGGAGCAGTCCCCTGGGTCAGGGTCCTAGAAGGAAAGGGGGTCCAGGAGAGCTGGCTGATAYTCAAGCRCCACTTCCTCCAAGCTCAGGATCGGTGTATCCCCACAAAAAAGAAGTCGAGTAAGCGGGGCAGGAGACCTGTATGGATGGGTAAGGAATTGCTGGGCAAAGTGAGTGAGAAAAAAGGGTGTACAGCTTGTGGAAGAAGGGACAGGCCACGTGGGAGGAATACAGGCACATTGTCAGAGAWTGCAGATGMGAAACGAGGAAGGYCAAAGCCCGGGTGGAATTAGAGYTGGCGAGGCAAGTCAGAGACAACAGGAAGGGTTTCTATAAGTATGTCAATAGCAAGAGGAAGACGAGGGAAAATGTTAGTGCACTGCTGAATGGGGAAGGGGCCTTGGTGACGGAGGATGCCGAGAAGGCAGAGTTACTAAATGCCTTCTTTGCCTCTGTCTTTACTGCTAAGGCGACCCCCCATGAACTGCAGGGCACAAATGGAAGAGATGTAAGTGGGCTAGAGGAAGACCTTCCGCGGGTTGAGAAGGATTGGGTTAAGGATCACTTAGGCAAACTGACCACTCAAAAATCTGTGGGCCCAGATGGGATGCACCCAAGAGTGCTGAGGGAACTGGCCAAGGTTATTGCTCAGCCTCTCTCCATCATCTTTGAGAGGTCCTGGAGAGCAGGGGAGGTGCCCGAGGACTGGAAGAGAGCCAACGTCACTCCAGTCTTCAAAAAGGGCAAGAGGGGGGAGCCGGGCAATCACAGGCCGGTCAGCCTCACCTCTGTCCCTGGAAAGGTGATGGAGCGGTTCATCCTAGAGAGAATBTCCRGRCATATGRMGGAGAAGAAGGTGTTGAGGAGCAGTCAGCATGGATTCACCAAGGGGAAGTCATGTCTGACGAACCTCATAGCCTTCTATGATGGGATGACAGGCTGGCTGGACGAGGGGAGAGCCGTGGATGTTGTCTACCTTGACTTCAGCAAGRCTTTTGACACTGTCTCCCATAACATCCTCATACGGAAGCTCCGGGAGAGTGGGCTAGACGAGTGCATGGTGCGGTGAATCGAGGGCTGGCAGAGTTCAGAGGGTGGTGATAAATGGGGCCGAGTCCAGCTGGAGGCCTGTGGCCAGTGGTGTCCCCCAGGGGTCAGTACTGGGCCTGATGCTGTTCAATTTCTTCATCAATGACCTGGACGAGGGCACAGAGTGCACCCTGAGCAAGTTTGAGGATGACACCAAGCTGGGTGGGGTGGCCGACACTCCGGAGGGCTGTGCTGCCATCCAGAGGGACCTGGACAGGCTGGAGAGTTGGGCAGAGAGGAACCTCATGAGGTTCAATAAGGACAAGTGCAGGGTCCTGCACCTGGGGAGGAATAACCCCAGGCACCAGGACAGATTAGGGGTTGACCTGCTGGAAAGCACCTCCACGGAGAGGGACCTGGGAGTCCTGGTTGACACCAAGTTAACCATGAGTGAGCAGTGTCCCCTCGTGGCCAAGAAGGCCAATGGGATCCTGGCCTGCATCAGGAGGAGTGTTGCCAGCAGGTCAAGGGAGGTGATTCTGCCCCTCTCCTCAGCTCTGGTGAGGCCGCACCTGGAGTACTGGGTGCAGTTCTGGGCTCCCCAGTATAGGTGGGATGTGGAGCTTCTGGAGAGGGTCCAGAGAAGGGCAACCAGGATGATTAAGGGAATGGAACATCTCTCGTATGAAGAGAGGCTGAGTGAGCTGGGCCTGTTTTCTCTGGAGAAGAGAAGGCTSAGAGGGGATATGATTAATRTGTATAAGTTCAGGAAGGGAGAATGCAGGGARGAAGGGGACARGCTGTTYTCACTGGTGGCCAGYGAYAGGACGAGGGGTAATGGCCACAAGCTGGAGCACAAGAAGTTCTGTCTCCAGGTGAGGAGGAACTTCTTTACTGTTAGGGTGACAGAGCAGTGGAACAGGCTGCCCAGGGAGGTTGTGGAGTCTCCTACTCTGGGGGTCTTCAAAACCCGCCTGGATGCCGCCCTGTGTCACATGCTCTAGGTGTGCCTGCTTGAGCAGGAAGGTTGGACTAGATGATCTCTAGAGGTCCCTTCCAACCTGGACTATTCTGTGAATCTGTGTGAATTTTAAAGTAGCAGTCTCTTTTTTTTTTTTTTTTTTTTTTAATAGTTTCAATGGCAAAAAGCTACCCAGAAGGTTTCCCCTGCTTCTAGGAAGCAGAGAACCAATTTGTTCCTAAATGTTCCATATAAAAATAAACATTTTTCAGAATTTGTCTCCTTAGTTCATTTTTCATCTGTGTTGAATGAATGAGCACATGAAAGAAGAGGAAAGATACTGATTAAAAACTGTTTTTGCCATGGCTATTTTCAGCACAGCAACTATTGTGCAGCTTAAACATTTTGCTTAGAATGAGCTTTTTTCTAAACATAAACCTAATTCTTACAATATGTTGATGCAAAGGCTGTTGATGTTTAGTTATTGTTGTACAAATGGGAATAGTGTTTTTCTGTATATATTATCAGCCAATAATCTAGTCTTTGTTCTCACATTTTATTCACTTCTAAGATCTAATCATAGTGTGGGATGAGATTCATAAACACATACTAAAACTTGTAGTAATTATGAGGAAAGGATAATTTAAACTCATGATGAAGTTTGAAATATAGCTGTTGAGCAGGCACAATGTTTAATTT